ACCACTGAGCTAAAAGGGTGTCTGGAGGCCATACTCTGGGGGTTTCTCCTGTCTGAAGGGTGCCATTTTTTATGGGTTCCTGACCATGTGGTGGTAGACAGACAAATTATGAGATAGTAAAAGAGTTGACACCTCCTTTATAAATAAGAAATATTTTATTTATGGAATTTGCATATTCTTTCTATATGCAGATAGAAATTGTGGCCAAGACTAGTCTCCTTGTTTTCTTATACTTTTAATTCTAAGGAATTAAATATATCAAACCGTATCTTCTAAATGAAAACAAACTGTTGTTTTGTGAAACTGCAGTCTCTAATGAATTCTAGAAATGAAAATTCTGTATAGCGTGACAAATTTAAGTCTTTATATAAAAATATTGTGTTAATGATATCCTTATGCTTCTGTCATCTTACTTTAATTTTGTACCCTGCAGATTTCTTAGTAATGCTTTTCTCCTTCATCCCCCACCTCCAATTATACCATTATTGATCATATTAATACTACTTTGGATTATAAAAATTAAGAGAAGCAGTATAGCACAGTTGTTAAAAGTCATGAATTCTAGAGCCATAGAATCAGAGTTTGAATCTAGGTCTGCACTTAATAGCTGTAGCATCTTGGACAGGCTGCAAAGCTTCTCTCTGCCTCAGTTTCTTCATCTGTAAAATGGGGTATCAGTAGTACTATCTGATTGGTAGTATCATTGCTATGAGGATTCAATTATGAGTTCATGTATATAGAGTATTTAGAATTTATCTGGCACATAGTAAGCACTATGTAACTGTTAACTTTTATTTTCGAGCATTGTATTAGAATAATATTAGGTGTTTTAACAAACAAATCCCATATGTCACTGGTATAATTCAGTAGAAGTTTATTTCTCATTTATTTAAAGCCTAAAATGGGTTTCCTGATAGGTTGGCACCTACCAAACCAAATGACACTTATGGCTAATAAGAATATTCAAATTTTAGTATATCAACCTTGAAAGAGGAGAAATTTCAGTTAATCCTTCGATTAATCATATGTGGTCCATATTTAGTCCTAGAACCTAGAAGTTGCTAATAAAGTTTTACTTATTATATGGGAATGCGTTGGATTTTTCAGATAGAATTTTGTAAAAGCTCTTATAGGTGGTAAGCTAATGATTTTAAGAAAAAAGAGAGGCAAAAAGGAAAAGTCAGCTTGAATGCAGCAAACATGGAAATGCTAGGAGATGTAGTAGAGCTCAAGCTAGAAGAGAATGGAGGATTATGTTTTATGTTAAAGGGGTAAAGAAGACATTTGCGTGTGGAGTGTTGTTAGTAATTGAATTGTATCATAAGTGATGTAGAAATAAGAGTTGGTAAAAATGAAATTACTATGGGTGCTGGAAACCAGTAACCCATTATGAACTCGATGAATCTGAGAAGAGAGTAGCCTAGTAGGAAGGATGAATGAAATGTTCCACTAAGTTCTGAAGGGATAGTAACAGATTCATCTGCTTCTTATTATAAAGAGAAAGCAAGCGGAATGACAGGGCTAATTAAGTCCTTAGAGAGTATTAATGTATTCCTGGGGTCCAGAAATAGCTACAGATAGACCTTATTTAAAGCAAATTTAACATATTTGGATTTACAGAACAGCTTCATTAAGGAAAAGTTATAAAATATTTCCTCACTTTCTAAGGATATCGACATAGTCTTTTCCATGCGTCACTAGTTTAAAACATGATTTTATTAACTATTTTTAATTCTACATACATAAATTATTTCAAAATGATATTTTAAAGTTATGTGTCCATGTAGCAAAGGAGGTTTGAAATGTCATTTTTTTCTTTTTTAGGCTGAAAGATTCAAGCAATATTATAAAGATAAATATCTTAAATTATAAGTTGATCTGCACTTTTATATACATTTTTTCTCCTTAGATCAGTACATATATAAATCAACAGTCTGTTTATATTCCATTTTTTATTTGCTTTGCTTTGCTGATACTGAAGAGATACGCTGGAATATCTGTTACAGTCTACTTTTATTATATATTAATTGTTGTTTGTGGGGATATATGCCATTTAAACATGGCTGCACTATTGACAACTGCAGCCCCCACAGGCCTCTGTGCTGCACAGCATGTTGAGACTTGTCCCCAACATGTTGAGACTTGTCCCCAACATGTTGAGACTTGTCCCCAACATGTTGAGACTTGTCATGACTTGTTTTCCCAAACCTATTGTACCTTTACTGATAGGCTTGTTTATCTGAATTCCTTCTCCCTTGCCCGCACCCAAAGCCCATTTTTCTGTTATTTGCTTCACTGCTTGCTGTATTGACTATAAATAAACTCCTGGGACTGAAGCTGGGGTCGACTCCTCAGAGTGACCCTCCTGGCCCCACTTCTCTGTTAAGAGTTGTGTTTGGTTACTGTCTCCGCCGCCCCGACATTTGCCTCCGCTGCGACAGATGGTGCCCCGTGTGAGGGGCTGCAACAGATGGTGTCCCGTGTGAGGGTGCTGTAGACATCCTCGCACTCAGTCCCTGAAGGTGGTAAGTACAGGATGCGTCCATTTCGGGCTGCTCTTACAGCCCTGGGAGCGGCGGGGTTTTTCCGGGGGCAGAACTTTCCCGGACGTTCTCATCTCGGGCTGCTATAGCCCCGGGAGCGGCGGGGGTTTCTCGTACGCTCCCTCAAGGGATTTCAGGCTTCGGGCCAGGAGCTTTCCTATCACTCTTTCCTTCATTTTCCTATTCCTCCTCGCTATGGGGAATTCTCTTTCTCCTGAACAACATCAACACAAAACCCAGTTGTTGGGATTGTTAAAGGCCTCTAAGCTTAAGGTGTCAGAAGAAGCCCTTACCCAACTTTTGCTTTTAATTGATTCTGCCTGTCCTTGGTATCCCTTGCAGGGAAACCTTGATGTAGAAGCATGGGAACATATCGGTAACATCATTTGTGACATGAACATCCCAGCTTCAGTTCTTATTGCTTGGCATCACTGC